CCTTTACCACAACAATAACAGTGATGCGTAGCAATAGGAATGATGCACAGTGATTGATAATATACAGAGCAATTTATTAAAGCACAGATTGCAGTGTTGAATGTTCAAAGGCAGGGTAAATACTAGTGTAATAACGACCTCGGGTCTTAGGTGGCGCGCTGGTAGCATACCCCTACAATATGTGATTTATATACGTATATAATAAACCTAGATATGTACCCCCTCTGGTTATCAAAAAATTCATTTCTGTTTTTGTGCTGGGAAAGCTAGATACAGTATATACATTAATGATTTCTAAAATTAATGTAGGTTGATTCATAGGTAGTTTCTTATATAGCGGCTCCCTTTCCAAGTGTTTTAGTGTCGTCCTTGAAAATAAAACATTGCCACGATCTCTGAGAAAGCTGGCAGACATGCGTATCACACTCGGCATTTATAATGTTATTGCCACTTTTTTTTTTTTTTACATAAGACTCATGATTATATAATATTGGATAGGTAGGTGAATAGTAAAATATAATTCAAACATAATTTTCACTTTTTAATTTTTCCCAGTGGGTTGAAGATCAATCGCTAAACCGAACAATTGCAGGTCGTTAAATCACCAAGGGTGTAAAAAAATTTTAAATTGTTAAACTGAATTATCTCAAAGTGAACTTACTTTTTACTTTCATCCTCTTCACCACTGATTGGCTCGTTAGCCACTTGGGCGGTCAGTCACGTCTCATCGTCGCACTGGCAAGTACTGGGCATACACTGGTTCCTGAATATATCGGAACCTGCTCCAGTGTTGGTCAAGTCTGGCCTAGAAAAACTCACACTTGGTGTCGTCACAACACACTGGCAGATTGTTCCAAGAGTTCGCAATTCTCACTTCGAAAAGGTTTGCACTCACTGTTTTCTGGACTTGTGGCTTCTTCAACCTTGAGCTGTAACCCTTTGTGGGGTAGGCACCCACCAGCTCCAGGTATGAACACTTGACTGAGTAGTGCCCTCTTTGATGTTTATACACCTCAATTAGGTCACCCCTTACCGGTTGGTATTATAGCCTAGGCATTTGCAGGCGCTCTAATCTCTTTGGATAACTGAGGTGCCAAATTGCAGGCACCATTCTTGTTTTCCTTGTTTGGACATTTTCAATCAAATGACAGTCTCTAACATATCTCGGGGACCAGACAAAGTGACAGTACTCCAAGCGGGGAAGCACCTCACTCTTGAAGATTGTTACAAGGGATGGACTCTCTAGATATCTGGACTGACCTTATGGGTAACTCAGAATGAGAGGATTTTCTTGAAACGATCCAGTACTGTTTCCTAAGTCAACATATAACCGAACCCACCCGAGGTAATAATATACTCGATTTAGTTCTGTTGAACAGAGAAAACCTCATTAGTAATGTCGAGGTAGGGAACAAACTTGCAAATAGCGATCACAAAGAAATTAGATTCCAGTTAGAATTTCAGGACACCCGTAAGCAAAATTCCACTAAAGTCCCAGATTTCAGAAGGGCAAACTTTGATAGTTTGAAGAGGCAGCTGAGAGGGGGGATGTCACGCTTGGGGGGTGAACTACATGACCTCACATGAGGTGACCTCACTCAATGTATCCACAGAGGGCGACCTCACCCTACCCGGAGACCTGACAGTTGAGATTGACATGATAACGAGATCTGAGGTTGCTGAGTTCCACGACAATTTAAATAATGAGTAACTTAATGTACAAAGGCAGAACATACCATACAAAAAACTCAGATCAGACAACAATGACCCAAAATGGATAAATAATTATTTAAAGAACATTATTGGACAAAGGAAGGCTATAGGTAGGAGAATAAATCGTGGTGAAGTTTATCTCCGATATTACTACAGTGACCCCTCCGTTAACGAACTCAATCCGTTCCAGAAGGTCGTTCGTTAACCGAAAAGTTTGTTAACCGAAACCATTGTTTCAATGGGTTTTTGGGTAATTGGTTCCAGCTCACCGAAAATTTCCTAAATTAAACAAAAATGGTAGAAAAGTTCACTTACTTTGAGGTGTGTATGTAGAAGGCTCCTGGATGATGATGTATGTAGAAGGCTCCTGGATGATGATGATGATGATGATGGGATTTAGAATGGGGGTGGAGGAGAAGGAAGAAGAGAAGGCATTGGGGTGGAAGAGAAGTCACCCCATGGTGCCATTTCACCCATAAAATTTTAGCTCTCTGGTGTAATTCAAGATTATTTTCTTTAAATCAACACTGCACTGCATTATATATTGTCAATATATAAAATATATTTCAAAATGACCAATAATTTGCTTGGAAACAGAAAAAAAGCGTCTAGTTGAAGAGAGTCTCAAGCAAGATGTTACCTCCAGTGAAAAGAGAGAGAGACTAACGCCTGTTTGCTGTGTTAAGAGGCTGGATGCCGCGCATTAAACTAGTCACTTTACCTTCAATTATGTTCAATAATTGTTAAAATGACTAAAAAATTGAATATTAAACTTTTAAAATTATTGAATAGTATAAACTTCTTGATATTTACTAAAATAGTAAGGAATTTAAGCCCTAGAACCGATTAATGTATTGGCGGACTGATACTAAAGCTGGTTGCCCGGTCAGTGCAAGCGAAAACATGTTGAGGTCGGTTCGTAAGAACTTCGTTAACCGAATTTTTTTTCGTTAACCGAATTGAAGATCCTTATGGAAGGCAGTTCGTTAATCGAAATTACGTTAACCGAGATGTTCGTTAAACGAGGGGTCACTGTATAAGGTATTGGCCAGTAGGGTTTGGACCGAGATAAGAAAAGCCAAGAGGAATGATAAGCTGAAGATAGCAAGGGAGGCGAAGTCAAACCCCAAGGGATTCTATCAAATGTATCAAACTTGTATCAAACTAAAACACGAGAAAAGATTGGACCAATACAGTCAGATAACGGCGAGCTAACTGATGACGGAGAAATGAGCAATAATCTGAATAAATATTTTTCAACAGTTTTCACCACCGAAAATTTAAACATGATACCCGAGGCTCCGACTCTATACAGAGATAGTGAAGAAAATAAATTTAAGTGAGATAGTAGTGACTAGTAACGATGTTAGTAAGCAAATAGACGAACTAAAGCCTAATAAGTCACCAGGTCCCGATGAGATATTTGCCAGAGTATTAAAGGAATGTAAGGAAGAGCTTAGTATGCCCTTAGCAAAGTTGTTTAACATGTCCTTAAAAATGGGTGTAGTACCAGAATCCTGGAGAATAGCGAATGTAATAACGATTTTAAAGAAGGGAGATAGATCACTATCCTCTAGCTACCATCCCAATCAGTCTAACATCAATTGTAGGCAAATTACTGGAAGCAATCATTTCAAACTCTATTCAAAATCACCTGGAGAAGCACAAGTTGATCAATGATTCCCAACATGGCTTCACAAGCGGGCGTTCATGTCTAACTAATCTATTAACATTCTTTTCATCAGTTTTCGAATCAGTGGACGAGGGGCACAATTATGATGTGGTATTTCTCGACTTTAGCAAAGCCTTCGACAGAGTCCCCTCACGAAAGATTAATAAGAAAAGTGGAGGTTCATGGCATTAAAGGTGATATTCTAAAATGGATTAGGGCATGGTTACAGGACAAGAAACAGCGAGTGAGCATTACCAGCACTAAATCCCATTGGAGCAACGTCACTAGTGGAGTTCTGCAAGGCTCAGTACCTGGACCATTATTATTTATTATACTGTATGCATAAACGACATAGATATCGTCGTAGACTGCAACATAAGTAAATTTGCTGATGACGCTAAAATAGGACGTGTAATTAAATCTGACGAGGACTCCGCAAAACTACAGGAAGATCTGAAAATTTTTTTGAGTGGTTTGAAAAATGACAGATGAAATTCAATGAGGACAAATGTAAAGTACTCAGTATAGGAGATGTAAACAGGGAAACCAGATACCAGATGAAAAACGATGTTATTGGGAAATCCGACTGCGAGAGAGATTTAGGAGTAATGATAAGTAGGAATCTTAAGCCAAGTAAACAATATGTATTTGCTCACAGATATCCTTCTGTAGCTCTTCACAGTCTGTTTGGTTATTAACGTTTCTGAATAACTTGGCATCACCTGCAAGCATTTGTATGGAGGAATGTATGGCTTCCGGCATGTCATTTATGAAACAAACAAACAACAATGGGCTTAATACACTGCCCTGTGGTACCTCACTTTTAATGGGTACACATGACGATTTTGCAGCATTAATCACCACACACCTCTTGGGATCATGCAGAAAGTCTCCGATCCACAGTAGGACACTTCACCGAATCCCGTAACCTTTCCAGTTTAATTTTACGGGTACACTGTCAAAAGCCTTGGCAAAATCTTATTATATTTTGCCAATATTGCCACCCTGTTCCAGAAATTGGGTCCAAGCATCCAGTACCTTGAGTAATTTTGTTAAGGAGGAATGTCTCGGCATAAAACCGTGTTGGCAGCCCTTTACAGAAGGGGAGGGGGGAGGCAAAAAAAAATGAACCAAATATAAATACAGAAATGGAAAGAAATAGACAAATCAAAAGTGAGAAACGATATACCATATGTTGTGTTGTCAAAGAAAGAGAAACAATTGAGACCCTGCAATTGTGTGAAAATGAGGCAGAAAATCAGATCGGCAACCTGGGACTTTGTCACAATTTTTGTGATGCCATATGGCAGCAGGGTTTACCATTAGACAACACATTATGCTTCCAATGTCTTCCCCAGGCAGTAGTACCTCCCTGTTTGATAGCTGCTTATTTTTATGCTGAATGAAAATATTGATACACATTTGTTAAATTGTCTTTAAAAATAAGGCAACACACACCTTTGTCTTTTGCGTAAATTTGTGCAGATAATGACCCTGAAAAGGGTGATTTTTTAACTGAATAGGATAATATTACATTTACAGGTACAATATAACATTTATATTCTACCTCAATGATAAATTTTTTCATACTAATTTCCACCTTTATCTTTACCAGAAGGTTCTTCAGCTGATGAGCGTTCAAGAACTTTAAGCCATAAGTGTAGCTCACGACTTAAGGAACTGATGGAGGAATTTCCTGAGGGTCTTGCTATTGACGAACTTAAAGGAGTTTACACGGTAAATAGTAGCTGTATCACCAGTAATCATAGCTTATTTTTTGTGCCAGTCCAAGTTTTGTCAATTTTGCATCCTCCAGCCTAAAGTGAAGAAAAAACGTTAATTGAACAAAGTTGAAAGTTATAAAACATAAAAAAAAGAAAAGAGAAACCTTGTTTAGCATCTGCTGTCCCTTTTAAGTTTTCATAGTGGTATGAAAGTTGAGGCCACTATGTCTTCCTGACATCTCCCAACGCTTAATGGTTGTTTGGGTACTCAAGCTAAACTTTAAACTTTATCATTGCCTTTGTCTTTATATCATTACTTTTCATCAAAATTCTGTTTATTTATTCCCATATCATTATTAATGTTTACGAGTGAAATAACGTATGTGACACCTGTATCCATGGAACGTCCACAGAAATTCAGAGATTCCATCTGTATACTTTGATGCAGATATGTTTTTTTAATTTGCACTGCTATTCTTTTAATAAGCACCAAATTCTAAACTTGGTATGCATGTAGGTTAGGTGTGCATATACAGTGGTCCCTCGGTTAACGAAATTTCGGTTAACGAATTACCTTCCATAAGAATATTCAATTCGGTTAACGAACAAAAATTCGGTTAACGAAATTCTTAAACGAAAATGTTTCGACATGCTTTGGGTTGCTCACCAGCTGGAAGATTAGTCTGCCAATACAGAAATCGGTTCTAGGGCTTACATTCGTTAAAATTGGAGTAAATATCAAGAAGGTTGTACTATTCAATAATTTTAAAAGTTTAATATTAATTTTTTTTAGTCATTTTAACACTTATTGAACATAATTGCAGTACAGAGAGCTAGTTTTTGGTGCACCAATCAGCCACTTCACTCACCCACCAAGGCTTCAGTTTGTGTTTCTGTTCAGTGGAGGAAACATCTTGCTTGTGGGTCTCTTGAACACAGAGTATTTTTACTTTTTTACAGTACAATTATTGGTCATTCTGAAATTTATTTAACATGTTGACAATATATAGTGCAGTGCAGTGTTGATTTAAAGAAAATAATATTGAATTACACCTTGTGAACTCAAAATTTTATGGGTGAAATGACGGCATGAAGCATGGGGTGATTTCTCTTCCACCCCCACTTCCTTCTCCTCTCCCTTCTCCTCCACCCCAACTTCTAATTCCCATCATCATCATCATCAACCAGGAGACTTCTATATACACACCTCAAAGTAAGTGTACTTTACTGCATTTTACTAGATTTTAAGGTATAGTAATAAATAATACCTCAGACTAAAGTTAGGATAATATAATTAACATTTCTGGATTCCTTGCAGGTCAGGGAATATTTTGAATGTAAACTTCATATATTTTGCACAAAAGATAAAATATTTGCTTTGTGTAAACCAAATTATTACATTAGATCTAAAATTTGTATGTCTAATACAAATTCCATGATGTTTATATTAAAAATGATCATCATATTGTAAGAATTCCAGCAATGTAAATTATATTCTGGCCGGTAATTTGTATGAATTTTATGAGCTAAAACAAGTATCTTCAGTAAATAAACAAAAATTATGCTTCACCAACACTATCTGTCAATCAAAATACCCCACCTCCGCCCTAGCTGGGTCCCTCCCTCCCTACCAGAGAAATGTTTGGGAGAAAACAGTATACGTATTTACATTTTTAGTAATAAATAATAACTCAGACTAAAGTTAGGATAATATAATTGACATTTCTGGATCCCTTGCAGGTTAGGGAATATTTTGAATGTAAACTTCATATATTTTGCACTAAAGATAAAATATTTGCTTTGTGTAAACGAAATTATTACATTAGATCTAAAATTTGTATGTCTAATGCAAAATCCATGATGTTTATATTCAAAATGTTCATCATATTGTAAGAATTCCAGCAATGGAAATTATATTCTGGCCGGATAATTTGTATGAATTTTATGAGCTAAATAAAAAATTATACTTCACCCGCGTATATGAGTAGATGCACCGCGTAAAATGAAATTCCGGTTCTGGCTAGGTAGCGTGTAAATGTAGAATCGCGTAAAGTGAAACCGCGTAAATCGGGGTATTACTGTAGTGTATAGCCCAAATAACCAATGAATATAAAACTTCAAACAAGATTTTGATGTGGATTAACACCTGGTTCGAAGACAGGCAACAAAGAGTGGTAATAAATGGAGTACTTTCTAAATAGAAAAAGGTTCTCAGTGGATTACCACAAGGCTCTGTCCTGGGACCACCTTGTTTGTGATCTACATAAACTACATAGATGAAAATATATGGAGCCATATTGTCAAGTTTGCGGACAAAATGAAGATGATCATTCTACCGCTAATCGTTTATCACAGTCTGCTTTACTGTGTTTTATTAATTGCAACCGATACTACTACAGTGGTCCCTCGGTTAACGAATGGTTCGATTAATGAAATTTCGGTTAACGAATTACCTCCCATAAGGATCTTCAATTCGGTTAACGAACAAAACTTCGATTAACGAAATCCTTACACAAAACACTTTTTTGTGAGCATCAGCTGACGGGTTAGTCTGCCAATTCAGTAATCTGTTCTATGTTTACATTCGTTTCCAATGGAGTAAATATCAAGAAAGTTGTGCTCTTTAATATTTTTGCATTTTTTATATTACAATTATTAATCATTTTAAAATTTAGTTAACATGTTGATAATATATGCAGTACAGGGAACTAGTTTTTTGTGCGCCCATCATCCGCTTGACTCAGCCACCAGGCGTCAGTCTGGCTTTGTTGACAGTGGAGTGAACATCTATTTTGTTGGTGTCTTGAATATTTTTGCATTTTTACTTTGAAATTATTGGTCATTCTGAAATTTAGTTAACATATTGATAATATATAGTGCAGTGCAGTGTTGATTTAAATAAAATAATCTTGAATTACACCTAGTGAACTTAAAATTTTATTGGTGAAATGACGGCATCAAGCATGGGTCCACTGAAAGGTGATTTCTCCTTCATCCCCACTTCCTTCTCTTCTCCTCCACCCCCACCCCCACTTCTAATTCCCATCATCATCATCAATCAGGAACCTTCTACATACACACCTCAAAGTAAGTGTACTTTACTGCATTTTTTTTACTTTGTATGTACAGTTGAACCTTGATTTACGCGGTTCTCGTTTATGTGTTTGGTCATTTACGCGGTACCTTGCCAGAACCCGGATGCCCGTGCGGTGAATTTACTCATTTACGCGGGTGAAGTATAATTTGTTTATTTACTGAAGATATTTGTTTTAGCTCATAAAATTCATACAAATTACCCGGCCAGAATGTAATTTACATTGCTGGAATTCTTCTAAGATTGTGATTATTTTAAATATAAACATCATGGAATTTGCATAAGACATACAAATTTTAGATCTAATGTAAGAATTTTGATTACAAAGAGCAAAAATTTTATCTTTTGTGCAAAATATATGACATTTATATTCAAAATATTCCTAGTCTTGCAAGGAATCCAGCAATGTCAATTATATTATCCTAACTTTAGTTTGAGGTATTATTTAATACTAAAAATGTAAATATACTGTTTTAACCCAAACATTTCTCTGGTAGGGAGGGAGGGTGGGATCCAGCGAGCATGGGAAGAGAGGGGGGAGCCGCAGGTGGAGTATTTTGATTGACAGATAGTATCTGGGTGAAGTGTAATTTGTTTAATTTACTGAAGATATTTGTTTTAGCTCATAAAATTCATACAAATTACCCGGCCAGAATATAATTTACATTGCTGGAATTCTTATAAGATTGTGATTATTTTAAATATAAACATCATGGAATTTGCATTAGACATACAAATTTTAGATCTAATGTAAGAATTTTGATTACAAAGAGCCAAAATTTTATCTTTTGTGCAAAATATATGACGTTTATATTCAAAATATTCCTGGTCTTGCAAGGAATCCAGCAATGTCAATTATATTATCCTAACTTTAGTCTGAGGTATTATTTATTACTAAAAATGTAAGCTTAATTTTTTTCACCCAAACATTTCTCTAGTAGGAAGGTTAAGGTGGGGGGTAGGGATGGAGGGAGGGACCCAGCTAGTGTGGGAAGAGGGGGGGAGCGGAGGTTGGGTATTTTGATTGACAGATAGTGTCTGGGTCGAGTATAATTTATTTATTTACTGAAGATATTTGTTTTAGCTCATAAAATTCATACAAATTACCCGGTCAGAATGTAATTTACATTGCTGGAATTCTTATAAGATTGTGATTATTTTAAATATAAACATCATGGAATTTGCATTAGACATACAAATTTTAGATCTCATGTAAGAATTTTGATGACAGCCAAAATTTTATCTTTTGTGCAAAATATATGACATTTATATTCAAAATATTCCTAGTCTTGCAAGGAATCCAGCAATGTCAATTATATTATCCTAACTTTAGTCTGAGGTATTATTTATTACTATACCTCAAAATCTAGTGTTTTCACCGAAACATTTCTCAGAGGGAGGAGCCAGCGAGCGTGAGAAGAGGGAGGGGGGGGGGGAAGTTGAGTCCATTATTTGAATGGACATTAACCTGGCGACTGTATTTCTCTTAAATATTAATTGTGTGTGCACACCATCATAAAATTAAGATGTTATTTTTACTACAACGTAGGTATTGTGTCAGTATTGTGTCGGAAAAAGTGGAGTTTGGGAGTCGGCCCAGTCTCTATTTCAATTAATCCCATATGTTCTGTTATTCCATTTACAGGGTTCTCGTTTTGTGTTTCTCGTTTTACGCGCTACTCCGCAGGTTCAATTGACCGCATAAATCAGGGGACCACTGTACTTTTCTGTGAGCTGGAACCAATTACCCAATATCCCATTGAAACAATAGATTCAGATAATGAAATTTTTGGTTAACGAACGACTCTGTTGAACGAATTGTGTTTGTTAACCGAGGGACCACTGTATTTAACTGCGTTGGGAAGATAATTAATTTTTAAATTTTCCATCACCGTGTGCGCGGGAATTGGTGGTTGGTGGGCTAGTCGTGGAAGTGATGGAAGTGATCACATTCAGTGTCTCATTGTCTATTGTATGCAGATCTAGGTTACTTGCTTTGATCTTGTTGTGTACTAGTGCTTATTGTATGATGATTTTATGGGTTACGAGTTATGTAACACAATTTGACTACAAATCACTCTACGTCATTTAGTATTAAACAAAAAATATTGTTCAAACCAATGTGAAGAATGTATGATAATTTAACTCAATAAATCTATCCATCTTAACTTAAAAATCAGTAAATTTTCAGAATTAAAAGTACTGTATGTACTGTACAGTAATTCCAAGATTTAACCTTGAGTTTGTGAGTTTGACTACCTTACATTCCATGCACTGCTGTTCCCCACACAGAGGTTGTGCTGGCACAGTTCCTCCCGGTCACCTGTATCTCACACTGAAAGCACCCCTCCCATAAGCAGAAATGCAGAAACAGTGGACCGGTGCTCTCAACCACCAAAGCTCCTCCCAATAGCCTTGTGGGCTGGTAGATGCATCTCTAAGGGTGTAATTTGGATCTGGATCGCTCTACGCAATGTTTATTAAAATGGAAAAACCGCTTCTGTTATTGTACTGATGCAATCTGTGTCATAAGACTTCAATGGGGTGAGATTTCTTGCCATGGCCAGGAGTACCAGAGGATTAGTAACACTTTCCTGGATACTATTGAGAAGGAGAAAAATCTTGACTTTGTGATAGATCATTCGCTGAAGGTGGTGCAACAAGTGTGGACAGCCGTGAGAAAAGCAATTAGAGATTTGGGAATTGTAAAGTGTACTTTCGAATACAAAGATAGGAAAATGCTCCTTCAATTTTACAAGTCTCACGTTTCTCCCTGTTTGGGTTACTGTATACAGGCATGGCAACCCTACCTCCAGGATTACCTAACTTCCCTAGAAAAGGTGCAATACAGAGCGACTAAAATTATTTGTGAACTATAGTAAGTTCTCCTGTAACGCGTGTTTTCTTAGCGTGATTTGGTTATAATGCGGTGAATGTACAGTACTGTACAGTACAGTGGTCCCTTGGTTAACGAGCACAATCCATTCTAGAAGGTCGCTCGTTAACCGAAACCATTGTTTCAATGGGTTTTTGGGTAATTGGTTCCAGCTCACCGAAAATTGCCTAAATTCAACAAAAAAGGTAGAAATGTACACTTACTTTGAGGTGTGTATGTAGAAGGCTCCTGGATTATGATGCTGATGTGAATTTGAAGTGGGAGGTGCAGGAGGAGAAGGGAGAAGAGAAGGAAGTGGAGGTGGAGGAGAAGCATTTTACTGCTTCTTGGAAGGTGGGTCACCTTCCATGAAAATGTCAGGAACCTCTGGACTGACAGATTCTCCACCAGGAACATCCTCTCTCCTTCTTGAAGTGGAAGGCTGAGGGCTAGCATTTTGTTCCCTCTGCCTTTTACTGAAGAAAGTGTCAATTGTGGTCTGTGGGGCATCTCTCCTCCCCATCATTAACTTATGTTTAAAGAAGGAGACCATTGTGTCCTCAACATTACACAAAGTTAGTTCATATTTTTTCACATCTGGGTGCCTTGAAGCCAGTTTCCTGAACTTCTCCCAGTAGTAAATAACATCTTTCAACTCTGAAGTTGACATATGGTCATCACTTTCCTTTTCCTCCTCACCATTGTCAGCCTCTAACATCTCATCCAGTTGCTTCAAGTCTTCAGGAGTAAGTTCCTCCTCATGTGACATCACAAGCTCTTCGACATCATCCTCCTCCACTTCAAGGCCTATTGACTGACCAATGGACACAATCTCCTGGTCCAACTCTGTTGCTTCCTCAAATCCCTCAAAATCATGGACTACTGTGTGATGGCCACAGTGCTTTCCATGAAGAATTGAGGGATCTAGTGGAGACTTCTTGCCATGATGACACAATCAATTTTACAGCCTCCAGGATGTTGAATTGTGTCTTCCAGAACTGTTTCAGTGTTAGTTCAGGATCAGTGGAAGTTGCCTGATGACACCTAAACATTTTCTTCATGTACAACTTCTTGAAGTTGCTGATCACATTCTGGTCCATTGTCTGTATGATTGATGTAGTGTTGGGAGGCAAAAACAACACTTTCACAAAGTCATATTGATACTCCAAAGTTCTGGCAAGGTCAGGGTCATGACCAGGGGCATTATCCATGAGGAGAAGAGCCTTTAAAGGGAGTTTATTGGTGGTTAGGTAGCTCTTCACAGAAGGGCAAAACACCTCAACAGCCCATTCATTAAAGAACTGTCTTGTCACCCATGCCTAATGGTTGGACTTCCAATATACTCCAAGCTTTCCTCTTACCACTTTTTCTTGTTTGAACACCCTGGGGTTCTCAGAGTGGTAAACAAGCATAGGCTTCAATTCGGAAATCCCCTGAAGCATTGGCACCAAGCAATAGAGTGAGACGGTATTTTGTGGGTTTATGCCCAGGTAAAGAGGCTTCATCTCTGGTGATGAATGTTCTTTTGGGCATCTTTTTCCAAAACAGCCCAGTTTCGTCCACATTGAACACTTGCTGTGGAAGATAATTTTCTTCATCCATCAGTTCTTTAAACTCCACTAAAAACTTTGCTGCCCCTTCCTTATCAGCACTAGCAGCCTCACCATGCCTAACTACACTAAATATGTCACTTCTTTTCTCATATTTTTCGAACCAGCCTTTGCTGGCCCTAAAATCTTCAAATTCTGTGCCTGAAGAACCAGGTTGATCTGTCTTTAAATGTTCGTAAACCTCCCTGGCTCTTTCACGAATTATAAATTCAGTAGAAACTGAATCACCTTTCATCTATTTTTCCCTAATCCAGATGAGAAGTAACCTCTGTTCCTGCAATTAGGGATCTACTTTTAAACACTCTTGTAGATTTGTCTCTCACTTTCACTTCTTTAAATTTTTCTTTCTGTGCAAGAATTGTCGACACAGTTAATGTCGACATGCCATATTCTTTGCATAGCGCACTGTTCTAATGCCTTCTTCATGTTTTTTTTATGTAATTTCCTGCTTAGTTTGCATTGAAATCGCTTTCCTTGATCTCTTCAGCCCCATGCTGGATTCAAACAATCTCAACACTTGATATTTTAAGTTTAAACTTGCTATAAATAAAGAATATTTCAAGCAAGATGTTACCTCCACTGATAAGACAGAGAGACTAACGCCTGTTTGGTGTGTTGACAGGCTGCATGGCGCGCATGAAACTAGTTTCCTTACCTTCACTTATGTTCAATAATTGTTAAAATGACTAAAAAATTAATATTAAACTTTTAAAATTATTGAATAGTATAAACGTCTTGATATTTACTAAAATTGTAAGGAATTTAAGCCCTAGAACCGATTACTGTATTGGCGGACTAATACTACAGCTGGTGGACCGCCAAATGCAAGCGAAAACATGTTGAAGTCGGCTCTTAAAAAACTCGTTAATCGAGGGATTGCTCGTTAACCGAAGTTAAGAATCTTATGGAAGGTAAATCGTTAACCGAAATCTCGTTAACTGAGGCGCTTGTTAGCCGAAATCTCGTTAACCGAGGGACCACTGTATTATTATTATTGTATTAATACAGTATTATTATTATTAATATCAAAAATTTTATTATTATAATTATTATTATAATTAGTATTACTATTACATTTTCGCCCCCCAGGCCCCGATGTGGGTCAGTGATCTATGCCTGGGTGGGCTAATCCCTGTTTAAAAAAAAAAAAAAAAATTCTGGGTGTTCAGAGCTTTTCGGTTTTCAGAATTTGGATAAAGGGTTATCAACCTGTATATATATATATATATATATATATATATATATATATATATATATATATATATATATATATATATATATATATATATATATATATATATATATATATATATATATATAAACCTACCTTATATATATATATATATATATATATATATATATATATATATATAAACCTACCTTATTATTGTTCCATTAAGGGTTTTTATGGAGCCACACTGGATGATTTGAATCCTGAATGCTGTGGTTATAAAAGCCTTGAAGCTCTTCTGAGAGCCTACTCAGAAACGGTCACTCTTCACTATGAAAAGGGAACTATCATGGTGCGGCCAAATACTGCACTTATACCTCAGCCATTATGCCAGGTGAGAGATTTGCACTTTTTTGTAATGTTTATATGCACCTGTCCTGTATGTGTCTATCACAGTTTTTTAATGAGAATAAACAAAAATATTCCATGTAGAATAGTTCATTTTCTTCCTTTGATTTTGTTTTTGTTTTCACCACTTTTTAATTCACTGGCCGTTTTGGCACTTGGTCCGTTCTTTTATTACTTTTTATGACCTTTATTGTTTAGTTTTAGTACAGGAATACCCCGGTTATCGCAAAGGATGATTTCCTGAAAGTCATTGTGAATAACGAATTTGCGAATATCTGGGCAATTTTGCCATAAGAATTAATATATGTGCATTTCAGCCCACAACTCGCACACACACACACACACACACATATATATATATATATATATATATATATATATATATATATATATATATATATATTGTATATATATATATATATATATATATATATATATATATATATATATATATATATATATATATATATATATATATATATATATATATATATATATATATATATATATATATATATATATATATATATATATATATATATATATATATATATATATATATACATATATATATATGCAAGTAAATCAATGTAGTTATGTTTTGATCTAGGTATACGCTTTGATAACTAATAAGGAAAGAAGAAACACTTAAGTCTCTAAGTTACTGCAATCTATGCTCAGTGAGTACAGACTCAAAGAGAAGTATACACAAGGTGTATAGTAGTACCCCGCTTAACACGGTCAATAAAACCCACAGGGTACCGTGTTAAGTGAAAACCGCGCTAAGTGAACAACAGAACATATGGGATTAATTCCAATAGAAACTGGCCCGACCCCCAAACTCCACTTTTTCACAATACCTATGTTCTAGTAAAAATAACATCTTAATTTTATGATGGTACATGCACACAATTAATACTTAAGAGAAATAGAGAAATACAGTCGCCAAATTAATGTCCATTCAAATAACGGACTCGACTCCCTCCCCCTCTTCTCACATTACACTGCTGGCTCTTCCCTCTCTGAGAAATTTTTGGGGGAAAACCACTAAATTTTAATAAATAATACCTCAAACTAAAGTTAGGATAATACAATTGACATTGCCAAGGATTCCTAAGATTGAGAATATTTCTGAATATAAATAAGTATATTTCATGGCTAAAAGATAACATATTTACTCAGAGTAAACATTATATCTATGATTTGTATGTCTAATGCAAAATCTATGATGTTTATATTCAAATGACTACCAAAATTGTAAGAATTCCAGCAATGTAAAATTATATTCTGCCGGGTAATTTGTATGAATTTTATGAGTTAAAATAAATATCTCCCAGTTAATAAAAAAAAAATATTCTTCACGGGATACTATCTGTCAGACCTGTGCTACCCCACCTTGCTCTTCCAACCACGCGGTCCGTCCCAACCCTCCCCCCCCCACCCCCCACCAATCCTCCTAAAGAGATGTTGGGTGAAAAAACTAAATTTTAACATTTAGTATTAAATAATACCTCAGATTAAAGTTAGGATAATATAATTGACATTGCTGGATTCCTTGTAAGACCAGGAATATTTTGAATATAAATGTCATATATTTTGCACAAAAGATAACATATTTACTCAGAGTAAACATTACATCTAAAATTTGTATATCTAATGCAAAATCTATGATGTTTATATTCAAAATGATCATCAAATTATAAGAATTCCAGCAATGTAAATTATATTCTGACCTGGTAATTTGTATGAATTTTATGAGCTAAAACAAATATCTTCAGTTAATAAAAAAAAAATATTCTTCACACGGTAACAGATGGTCGGTCGGTCCCTCCCTCCTCCCCACCCCCCACCAACCCTCCCCACCCCCCACCAACCCTCCCTACTAGATGTGTGGGAAAACCAGAATATTTACCTTTTTAGTAATGAATAATACCTCAAACTAAAGTTAGGATAATATAATTGACATTGCTGGATTCCTTGTAAGACCAGGAATATTTTGAATACAAATGTCATATATTTTGCACAAAAATAACATATTTACTCAGAGTAAACATTATATCTAAAATTTGTATGTCTAATGCAAAATCTATGATGTTTTTATTCAAAATGATCATCATATTGTAAGAATTCCAGCAATGTAAATTATATTCTGGCTGGGTAATTTGTATGAATTTTATGAGCTAAAACAGGCAGTCAGGCAGGGTGGCGGGTGGGGCGAATCTAAAAATAGCTCTCGAGCCGGACACACCGCGTATACGTGGAAAAAACCCGCGTTAAGTGAAAGTTCAGCTCTGGCGAGGCACCGCGTATACGGTAAAACGCGCTAAGCGAAACCGCGTTAAGCTGGGTAATACTGTATATATACAGAGGAGAGTGAGACCAGGTCCATAATGGCTTATTGGGTAAATAATTAAAATAATCTTGAATAGCATGAATGTTGGTATTGGGTCAGATGTGGTAAGGTGACCTGCTCCTTTCCTCAATTTGGTTAAAATCTTATAAATACAAATTGTCCAGTTTGCACAAGCCACATCAAATTCATGTTGAAGCTTCTGATGTTTTATTAAGGCTAGATTCCTATGATGTTCACTTACTAACTGAATTACAAGGTAATATTGAGTGAGGCATTATCTCAGTCAATGCAATGCTTGTTATCCTCAAATGAACAAACAGAGCATTGGATTCCTGGCCTGTCCAAACACCGTATTTGTGTTGTTTAATTTTAGCCAGACTCGATTCGTCTGCCTAAGTAAAGAATATATTACATTCCTTGCAAGGAACTTTATAAATGCAACCAATTGTGTTGTTGGGGGAGTTCTTGATTAACATTTGTTTAACAGTGCATGAGTTTTTAATTGCCACATTGACGTTCCAGGTTTTTAGTTGTGAAGGAATGTGTGAGAAATTTTTGTGAAATGGTAATATTAAGATATTCTTATGGTCATGGGTGGGCTTGGGATCAGTTCTATAAAAAGTTTTCTTAGTAATGTTTAGGCATTTGTCTATGAAAGATCTAGGGTATTTAAGGTTTGAGCCAATATTTTAGATATATTTGTATTCCTCATCAATGATTTCCGGACTGCAAATTTTCAAAGCACGTAAAAACATTGTTGAAAATACTGACTGTTTGACTCTATTATGGTGGGCAGAATAATAATGAATGTATGAACACACATTAGTTGGTTTTCTATAAATACTGAACTTAAAAGTGTTACCTATTCTATGTATCAGACAGTCTAGGAATGGCAATTTACAGTCTTGCTCTAATTCCATAGTGAATTTGATCGAGGGGGCTAAGTTGTTAAGTTGTGGCAGGAAAGCTTTTAGGTCCTCATTACATGGCCAGAGACATAATACATCATCAACATATCTAAACCAGACTGCTGAGGGTGGTAAAATATTATTTAATAGTTTCTTTTCAAAGAATTCCATATATAGGTTGCTTAATACAGGTGAGAGTGGATTACCCATTGCCATACCAAATTTTTGAGCATAATATTCCCCATTGAATTCGAATTTGCAATCCTTAATACATAGTTTGATGAGTTCGATGAAGTCGTCTTTCGAGACGGGCAGTGAAATGTCATCCAGGGAATCTATGAGGAACTCTAGTAAATCATCAACTGGGACCTTTGTAAAGAGTGATGTTACATCAAAGCTGACCAGTTTAAATCATAATTAATGTGTAAGTTGTTGATTTTATCAACCAGATCCATATTATTCTTGATATTGGAGTTAGAAATGTTGCCAACTAGGGGATTTAGTAAAGAAACTAACCATTTAGATAGTTTATAAGAGATTGACCCAACTGAGCTAATGATGGGTCTTGCTGGGTTATTGGGCTTGTGGGTCTTGATTACAGCGTACATGTATGGCAGTGGAGGGGACGTTGAAGTAAGATGTTTAATGAGAGTAGCTTTGCCTCTCAATAGGGACTTCAGTTTTTTGTTGAACTGGGTGTTCACAGTGTTGAGAGGATTATTGATGAGAGTACATCCTTGTAGATGTACTCTCATGTTTGTGGATAGGGTGAGTGTCTGAACACTTCTCAAAAGGTATGATACCTTGAGGCACACATTCAGTTCATCAGCTGCAGTGCTTCGAGAAATGACAGGTAGGGTCTGGCGAAAGAGTCTAGCAATGACCATTGTAATGCCACGATAGGACGCCACTCTCCGGGAGGCTCCACATTGTCTCATTGTAGTGCATTAGGGTAGACCACATTTTTGGTTTTGCCATTATCACAAGTATGTAAAGATTTTTTTAGCATTAAACTGTTATTATTTTATTGTCTATTCATTATTACATATATCACCACCCATCATCACTACATACAACACCATCCATGATCACTACATATAACACCATCCATCATCACTACATATAACACCACCCATCATCACTACATATAACAACACCCATCATCACTCATGGCGGGGCATTTGAAATTACTCTGAAATTTCTGATTACAATCGACCCCCCTAAAAAAGACAGCACTGTCCTCATGTGCTGAGAAAACATTATATTATATATATATATATATATATATATATATATATATATATATATATATATATATATATATATATATATATATATATATATATATATTTATTTATTTATTTATTTATTTAAGGGAGATTTTAGGAGTGTTTCTGACTTTATGCGTTTTTGGCTTTTCTTTGTATGTACTTTTCTGTGAGCTGGAACCAATTCCACAATATCCCATTGAAACAGTGGTTTCGGTTAGCGAACGAATTGAGTTCGTTAACCGAGAGACCACTGTACTGTATCTGTTTGTTTAACCCGTAACTGGAGTTTCAGTCCCCGATCCACTCAAAACAAATATTTGTCAGTGGACTCCATAAGTCAGTCCGTATTCGAGGCCGTAACTTATTGGACCTCCTTAGCTGCTGTAACACGCTCAACCCGGATATAGTAAGTACGCTATTTCCCGATTGCATAAAAAAGAATAATATTATAAGTTGTACTAAAGCTTGTGAGACTTATTTCATCATAAGAATAATAAAGAAAATGTTTTGTACACCAACATACTAAAATACTATATTACAGTTTGTCTTTTTTTTTTTTTTTACGAGAAGAAGAGGCTTGAGTGTATTTATATTTGTTGCGAAATGGAAGAGATGCATCTTTTGTCTTGTTACAACTTTTCAAGTAATTTTTACCTAAATTGAAGGTTTGTATTGTCCACATTTATGGTAGAAATATTTTTTATGACTGAGTTAACTTGCAGATAGACCTTATTAAAGTGTTATAGCTGTTGATATCCGTCAGTAATGAAAGCCAAATACGAGGTCAAGTGAACATTTTTGCCTAGACTTCGCTTTCTTTATGCATATTCAACCAATAGCCTATGCCTATTTTCTTATGTATATGGCTAATGATAACATGATAGGCTTTACATGTCCATAGGCTAGTCAAAATGAAATTATATGCGCATAAAATATGGATTGCAATTAATTTGATTAAGCTAGGGGCCTATATAACTGCATGATTCTTCAGTTTGACCGTACATCTCGTGTCCAACTTCCCTAAGTTTATTTTCTTTCTTTTGGTGATTTCACACACCATGACAGGTACTTCTTTTTCGCTGAAATTTGGTCTCCTCTTCTTTGCAGTAGGTCCTTCCATCCTTTGTTTACAAACAAAATACTAACACGTGCTTCGATCTCAGCTGATTTCTCCTTCTCTTGTGATTGGTTGATGATTTTGTTTACTGATTTACGATTGGCCAACTGGCTCATGCACTGCTATCTACCTTCGGACAAGAGAACTGAATTTAGAGTGTAAACAAATAATTACAGACTGCTTACGGACCCGTAATGAAATTTTGAGTATAGAAATATACTGGATTTAAAGCAGTCTGTAAGTTACGGTACCGTATTTCTGCTACTGTATGTAACTGATGAGGCGTTTTGAGTATGCGGCCCCAGTACAGCACAGCACAGCACAGTATATATATCCTTAAATCACAAGATGAATATGAGCATAAGGTATTCAGTGATATATGGTAATGGTTATAATTTTTCTCCTTAATTGTTTTTTAATATGCGACCTATTGTATATTTTGACGAATTAGAAACAACTCAATTTGTGAGTGACATTGACTTGAACTAAGTCACAATTAGCATTACATTCATCCCCATAAAGTCATAAACAATTTA